GACTTGTCATTTGCACTTATATATTGTTGCTCTTTTGTTAGTTTTGACTGCTTTTATTGTCCTCATTTGTAAGTCACTTTGGATAAAAGCGTCTGCTAAATGACTAAATGTAAATGTAATGTAAATATGTAGAACCAGGGCAAATGCTCAGCCCTTTTTAGTGAAATACCACTGTGCCCCAGTAAAACATGACAGTAGAGATTATTTTGTACTGACCCGAGAACTATTTTCCTTGATCATTTTTCAAGCAATTTTGTTGTGTGCATCAGCAATCATGTCACCTGGTAAGAATCAGAACTAGTGATACCAAATTTGCCAACGAATCACTCTTTTGAGTAAATCGGTCATAATGGTTTGCAAAAACACTGAGAATTTTTTGGGTAATTAATCTCAATTAGGGTCATAGCATTGAACTAACAATATATTATAATAATAATAATATGTTACACGAAAAGGAGAATTTATTACAATTATTTATTTAACTGACCTTAATTTATAGAACAAGTTTATCTAAATTAAGTGTAACGGATTTTTTTTGTTACTATACACTGCTGCTAGTTGGAAGCTGAGTTACTGTTTTGATACGGAATAATTTAGTTCTACTTTTGATAAGTCACTCCTCCCAACAAATATGGAGGATGTTTGTCTCTACCTGGTTTGCTGGAATGTTCTAGATGGCCAAGCTGAGGCTGTTTGGTGATTCGGTAAATGAGTTCATCTGGTTCACTGTCCTGATCTGTAGATGAGAGCTGCAGTGTTGTGATCTTCTTCAAGGTGTTCTCATCCATAACCAAACCCTTATTAACCACCACTGTGGGAGGAAGTCTGTCCTCTGAGAGAGAGAGAGAGAAAAAAAAAGATGAGTATGTACTAAAATAACTTTCTTCTAACATTCCTGAACATGAATCTTTCAATGTCCCAAAATAACTTCTTGGCTCACCTAGAACGTTAATGAAGAAAGACTGGTCAATGACTCTGTTTCCCTCGGGATCTTCCAAGTTGAACTTAAAAGAGAAGCTGCCTCCACTTTCTCCCTTTTCATGAATGTATTCCACATGTCCTGACAGACGAGGCACAAAACCACATGAAACAACGCATCTCTGCTTAGAAATTGGATGATTATGTATATGAGAGAGAGAGAGAGAGAGAGAGAGAGGAAGAGACAGCAACCTTTGTTGATGTCATCCTGGGTGAAGCTGGTGACAGGTCCTTTGACAGATATCTGGGCCTTGTTTCTGCCCGTATTCAGCAGCAGGGAGCCCACGCTCAGGTCTTTACTAAGGGTGAACCGCAGCTTAAGGTTATCTGAATCTATGTCCGTCCCTTTTAGATGCTGCTCTGTGATCTTAGATGAGGAACCTGCCAGGAGGAATGAGCAATGATAACAGAAATGATACAGGCATTTAAGTTATTTATTAACATCAACTCAATCTAACTAGATATGAGCCTCAATTATTCACATGAAGTGTTTCAACTGGTGCATTGCAAGTAAGATCTGTTTAGACTGGATTACTGCAGTTGCTCTCAGAGTGTAAGGCACTTCTCTAGTTCACAAAGATGTCTGGCAGAGAGAGATTATAAGTGCATAATGCCATAATTTCGGTCTGGTTCTCACACAAAGCTGTTAAATGGCTTCAAAAGACTTTTATGTGCTTCTCATCCCTCTCCTTTTGTGTTCCACAGACGAAAAACAAATACAGGTTTGAAATTATATGAAGCTGAGTGAATGAGAATAATTTAGTTCTACTTTTGATAAGTCACTCCTCCCAACAAATATGGAGGATGTTTGTCTCTACCTGGTTTGCTGGAATGTTCTAGATGGCCAAGCTGAGGCTGTTTGGTGATTCGGTAAATGAGTTCATCTGGTTCACTGTCCTGATCTGTAGATGAGAGCTGCAGTGTTGTGATCTTCTTCAAGGTGTTCTCATCCATAACCAAACCCTTATTAACCACCACTGTGGGAGGAAGTCTGTCCTCTGAGAGAGAGAGAGAGAAAAAAAAAGATGAGTATGTACTAAAATAACTTTCTTCTAACATTCCTGAACATGAATCTTTCAATGTCCCAAAATAACTTCTTGGCTCACCTAGAACGTTAATGAAGAAAGACTGGTCAATGACTCTGTTTCCCTCGGGATCTTCCAAGTTGAACTTAAAAGAGAAGCTGCCTCCACTTTCTCCCTTTTCATGAATGTATTCCACATGTCCTGACAGACGAGGCACAAAACCACATGAAACAACGCATCTCTGCTTAGAAATTGGATGATTATGTATATGAGAGAGAGAGAGAGAGAGAGAGAGAGGAAGAGACAGCAACCTTTGTTGATGTCATCCTGGGTGAAGCTGGTGACAGGTCCTTTGACAGATATCTGGGCCTTGTTTCTGCCCGTATTCAGCAGCAGGGAGCCCACGCTCAGGTCTTTACTAAGGGTGAACCGCAGCTTAAGGTTATCTGAATCTATGTCCGTCCCTTTTAGATGCTGCTCTGTGATCTTAGATGAGGAACCTGCCAGGAGGAATGAGCAATGATAACAGAAATGATACAGGCATTTAAGTTATTTATTAACATCAACTCAATCTAACTAGATATGAGCCTCAATTATTCACATGAAGTGTTTCAACTGGTGCATTGCAAGTAAGATCTGTTTAGACTGGATTACTGCAGTTGCTCTCAGAGTGTAAGGCACTTCTCTAGTTCACAAAGATGTCTGGCAGAGAGAGATTATAAGTGCATAATGCCATAATTTCGGTCTGGTTCTCACACAAAGCTGTTAAATGGCTTCAAAAGACTTTTATGTGCTTCTCATCCCTCTCCTTTTGTGTTCCACAGACGAAAAACAAATACAGGTTTGAAATTATATGAAGCTGAGTGAATGAAGAATGAATTTTTAGGTGAGATATTCCTCAAAAATGGCTTCTGGAAAGCATTATCAAGCTTTATTATTAATTTATTTATTTTTGGATATTTTAAGAGTCATTATTAATAATTCTAATGTAACAAAATCATAAAGAAAACCACAGAACAATGTGGACACACTGACAAAAAAATATTTCTTACAATGAACAGTGTAACTTTTTATTATTTAACAAAGCAGTGAATACTGAAAGAACAATTGCAATTTTTCATTGTGTTTTTGTCATTCAACATAATGAATTAAACTTAAAACATTTTATGTTACTTTTATGTTAAATTGCTTGTGTTTATCCTTATTTTAAAAATTCTTTGGACACAAGTAAGCAATAAATACATGTAAATTATTTAGATGCTATTTTCTTTATTATTTACTATTAAGTACAGCCATTTGTATATAACGCTGCTCATGGTGAGGGGTTGGGGCAGTAAAGGGATGCAATGGATTTTTTTGTTTTAAATGAGAACACTGGCAACTCATTTTAGAAGCAGTTAAGAAACTAAATATTTATTTTGTACGGAACTGTGTCTGATATAATGACGACTACTAAAAATAAGCAACCTAACCAATCAGGGATGCTTGGAATGTGTGCAAGGACAATGTAACGTAGTTGTATCTTGACCTGCTGCAATCTGTAGTCCTCTGTTGATTGTGACTCTAGGGCCTTCTCTCTTCCTAATATCCATGCTGAACTCTAGACGTCCGGTCTCTGTGTATATGCCATCTGTTACTGAAAACTGGATCTCGTCAGTCCCAGAGCCGCGTCCATCTGGGGTGTAGACCAGAAGCTCATCTAGAACATCCTGGTAAGTGAAGGTGGAGCCTTGCTGAAGAATCCTGCCATTCTCAAAAGGCTGAGAGTAGAACTGCCTTCTGCGTAGCTTTCCTTTTGAAACACATACAGAAATATTGCAAAGAAACTAACATTGATGCTACGTTCCTTCTCATTTTTCCATCAAACACAGAATAAACACACATAAAATTAACACACATCGCTCTGCTTCCCATTTGAAATAAATGTGCACTTGACCTCTAATGGTCGCTTGATGTAATTTTTTGTATAACTGCACAGCTGTCATAACACTCTGACGCGGTGACTGTATTTCAGTTCTGTCAGCTCCATTCCTCACTTGTGACTCCTAATAAAACTGCTGTGAACACCTTGACATGCATCCATAAAGGTTTAACCAATGAAGCTCTGTGGGTCATGGCCTTTCCTCCGACTCTCTAGTCAAAAGCAGAGGCACAATGACAAGAACATCAATCAGTCACACAGGAGCCAGCCGGAGCAGTCATGTGGAAAATAATGGATGTTTTCTGAAGGCTGCCCATGAATGAGCGACAGAATTGGGAATGGAGTGGGCATATGAAGAGAAATAGAGAGAGAAGGACAGCCACTGACCGTATGAAGGCTTCTTGATGAGGGTAAGGAGAAGCTCATTTTCAGGTGTGTCCGGGTCCAAAATATTCAGGGAGGAGTTGGTAATGATCACACCGGAATTCTCCTCCACTTGGATGCTGTTCACTGAGATAATTGGGACTCTATCCTCCTTGGTGTGCTAGAAACAACATCAAATAACATCTCATATATAAACCTGACAAGTCGGGAAAGAGAGACAGGAAAGAGATGGGAATCTGGACATGATGTAGACTAGCTTTGAATTTGCATCCAGGTGAGCCAGCGGCTCCAACTACTTTTAAGATACTGCTAAATTAAGAAAAATCAAAGTACCCGTATGTCGTCTAAAGTAACAGCAAAAGGGATTCTGAAAATGTAGTCTGGAAACCATTCATTAAAGAAACACCATCCAGTTTTAAGCCCAAAAATTATTTTTTTGTGTCCGTACACTAGGGTATTCGTGCAGTGCACGTGATGTAAATACTGTCAATACAATAGAATGCGGATTTTTTAGAATTGTGCGTACTTTGTACATTCAGCTCGCATATTCGCCTTGAATTTTTTTCCGCTAATTTTGTTTGTCCACAAGGTGGCAAAACTAGCTTGGACAAAAAACACTGAAGACAACAACAACAATAGCGTTTATATTGAGGGGGTTAAAAGAAACCCCAAAAACTCTAACAACATTTTTAACAGTTTTAACTTCTGGAAAGGAAAATACACTGGACAACGAAGAGACCTTTTTAGTGCAAATGTGTTGACAGCCTGTGTTAACACTATCAAATGGACTACACATTCGGCTGTATGCAATAAAATTAAAGTATACTTTTGGCTTTAGTATTTCAACTATACCTGGATGTCTATGGTGATATCAAAAGCCTCAGTTTGACTAGACCCATCACTGATGTAAAAGCTGAAGACATCCTGGCGGATGTTGGCTTGGCGGATGTTTTGAACGTAGAAGATATGGTCTGAGGTGAGGTCTTCTATAGTGAAAGGGACGTCAGGGCTGATCACGCGAGATCCACCAATCGCTGCTGGACACAAAGCACACATCTCAATGTGCTGAACAAACAACACTTTGTTCTGGAGACTGCTTTTTACTGGGAATAACATTTCTGAGCCTAATATCTAAACAGTTGATCTCAAAAACAACAAACAAGCAACTTTCTAGACAAAACACAAGAGAAAGCGACTGTCAGTTGCAAGACAAGAAATCGCTAATATTTATGAATAAATGGCTGCGAGGACCAAAAACAAACCCAAAATCATGAAAATAAAACAAGTGTTTTCTTAAAGTAGATGCATCAAAGCAGACATCAGAGTTTGCATCTGTTTTGGATGAAAAACTCAATTTTGTACAACTGTCGTTGGGTGTTTATGTTCCACCATGATCTGCATCTCCTTTCATCTTCCCCACTCAAACAGGAAGCCTGAATAAAGATGACTGCTTCAATCTGAATTTCACAGATATACAAATCTCTATTACAGCAAATGAGCGCTCTCCTCATGAATAAAATGACGCCATCAGCAACTGCTGAAAAAAAAACCCCATCTGCCCTTAAGTGACTGGGAAAAGGAAGCTAACAATCTAAGATATATTACACAAAGAGATAGCTAAGAGATTTACCTTGTTTTGTGTTCTCAATGAAACCATACTTCGGTGGGCTGATCAGCCACACCAGGAGGTCCTTTCTGGGTGTGTCTGGGTCAGATGCAATAAAGTGATTGGCTGAGAGCTGGACTCTCCCTCCTTCTTGAACCTATCCACAAGAAACACCGTAAAGAGTTTGGAAAGGCTGAAAGAACCAGATCTAAAACTAGTTGACTGGTGAAGTGGGAACCGTTCTCACCTTAATGCCGCTGTGGACCGTGACAACAGGTGGCTGTCTCTGGGTAGACGTGATGGTTATAGTGAACATCTGGTTCTCCAAACGATTGTTCTCACCATCATAGACGACATAGTGGAAAATATCAGTGACAGGCTGGTTACCCGTTTCAAAGGATGTAACATACCTTTAAAAAACAAACAAAAAAAACCGATCATATTTCATCATTTCTCAGCAGGGCTCAACAATTTAAAGCAATTAAAGAAGCTTGTGTTGTAATGCATGGTGAGTCTCCCCAAGCATTTCAACTCGCCACACATTTTACATGCCTCATTTATATTAACATAAGCTGAACTAGGAAGGACACATTAATACTGGTAATGACTTAAAAAACACACTGAGAAGGACCAGACCACATATTGAAAATGAAAGCAATACTATTTAAATTCAATTATCGTAAAATAAATGAAAGAGAGCTGCTAAGAATATAAAATACATCTGATGCAGGCAGGAGTTTTATAAAACTAAAACCATAAAAAACTTAAAACCTGAAATAAAATAAACATAAAAAATAAACTTTACTAAAACAAAAATTATTAAAACTTTAACAAAATTTTTAAAAATATATATTAAAAATAAAATCTAATTCAAAATATGAATAAAAACTATAATAGTATCTTAATGATACTACAATAATACTGGATGCAGGGAGTTTACCTGATTTTGTGGTTGTTGATGTCCTCCATTGTAAAGGAGGAATATTCACTAAGTTCCTCATGGTCTGTTTCAGCCTTGGTTTTGGTGAGGATCCCATACATCGGTACAGAAACTAACTGCACAAAAATGGTCTCATCGGGAGATTTATCATCCTACAAAACATTGACAGTTACTTTTAAGCATATTGTAATCTACCAGTTTTAACTTTTATTTTCAGTTATAGTCAGAACATGTCGTTCCTTACCATATAAGCTAACTGCGAACGTCTAATGATGGTACTGCTCTTTTCCGCCACCTCCATTGACAGCAGGGCCTTAGGGTCGCGTTTGGGTGCGTCACCTTTGACCTCCGACACCAAGACCTGCACCGTGATGGAGGTCATGGAGATCCCGTCCGTCACAGAGAAAGTCATGGAGTCCTCCTCTGTGGTGAGACCCGCATGCTCATACTGCAGAACGTTCCTGGTGACGTCACTGGAGGTGAAGGTGTCCCCTGAGGTGAAGGAGAGTTTTGATAAATAAACTAAAGCAACTGAAGCCAGAAAATAAGATAAAGAAGAACACACTAGGGAGAACCAAAAATGCAGTACCTACCATTGACCATCTGGACCTGGGAGCCAAGGTCCACTCTCAGGAGGGTCCCGTGTAGGGGCCCCTCCACCAGCTCAAACTCTAGCTCTTCAGGGGCCGTATCAGCATCCGTCACTGCTAACTGCCGTCCACCTATATGACACAGAAACAAATCCACGTAAGAATAAAAGGCGCAAATATTATGTTTGTTGCGCTGACACCTAGTGGTGTGGATGTAGAAAAGGTTTTCGAGAAATGCTCTATTTGCACTAAAACGTCTGTTTTTTCAATGTCAAAAATGTGCATTAAAAAGTGAGCATTATTCGACTAGTCATGTGATATGACTGCCATCCTAATCACTTTTGAACATGATTTAAAACATTTTTCAAAAGAACTAATCAGTTCTTTAACTCTAAAACTTTTTTTAATGAGGTACAAAACTTTTTAATGACACTGACTGGGCCTTTTATATACTTATTCATTCACACTAATTACTTTGTAGCACTTACACCAATACACGTGTCCTTACCCACTGGTGCCCTGCCGCCGAGACTGACCTCCAGCACCGGATCCAGAATCTGAGAGACCGGTGGCTGCTGATGATTGGCCAACAACAGAATAGCAAAGTCCATCTCTGGAGTGGTGTGCTCTCCATCAGAAACTGACATAAGAGAGGGAATAGGAATAAGTCACACATGCACAAGAACACTGCTGACCTTCAGGCCAGTTCTGTCTTCTGCACTTCGGCTCAATACAGCACAGATGAATGAATCAGACAGAGAGAGCGAAAGAAAACAGAAAGACCAATAAAGACATCTCATCCTCCAGAGACTGAACATTTGATGTAAAATACAGGGATAACTTGGCATATACAACTATTCAACATAATATTATTTCTTCATAAATGTCAGCAAAGAAAGATCCATTTGATAAATGTCGAAATCAGTCTTTTAGCTGCTGTAACCTTCAAAGCTCAAGTAGTTGTGTGACGTATATATATATATATTTGTGCGTGTGAAAATTTGTAACCATGGTATCCTTGTGTCCTCCAACTTAACACTTACTGTCTGTGAGGAAGCACTGCATTGATATTCCTGATATTCTGGTGAGGGGTTTGTTCTTAACCTCTAATATTTAACCTTAACAGGACAGCTTCTCTTTGGTGATATACTGTATGCAAGACTTCTCCAAACATTTAGTCTGCTTAAACCTGCCCCTGCAAGCTCACATTCATCTGCCTCCACCAACTTCATCTGAACGGGAAAAAAATATTTCACTCTCACGTGAAATTCTTGACTACTGTAATTTCGGCCACAAAAATTCGCAGAAATAAAAAAGGTAAACGCGACTGCACATTTTTGTATTTTTATAAAATGTTCTAGTTTAAGCTAGAAATACAATAAATGAGTTTGAAAATTCACTATTGACTTACACTACATTAAAAAGTAACTGTCAGGAATGCTAAAACATTCATATTTGCATAGAGAATTGTGAATGGTCTTGTCTTTCTTGGATTTACATACAGTAATCATCGATAGCCTCCTTGTCTACTTATTTTAGTGATTCTACTGTGCATCTGAAAACAAAACACAGTTTGAGTGTCAAAAAACTGCAGACATTGCTTTTACATTTCCCAAAAGACGAAAATGAATAAAACAGAACAGTGGTGATTTGGTATTAAAAAAGGATCATTCATATTCCTTTATGATGATACAAGTAGCACAAAAAAAACTATTTTTTGTAAGGGTAGAAGAGAAGAAATTGTTTTTAAAATCAAAGTTACAATTTACATATTTTAAATGAAAGTGAGACAAAACAAAAACCTTATTCCTGTTAGAACAATGAAAAAGAATAAAATGAAAACAGAATATTTAAATTTCAACTGCGCATGTTAACAGATAACAGCTGAGGTGAGATTCTCGTTCTCAAATTTTATGACGCTGTTGTTGTTTTCCTTCAGTTGAGTATATGTATAAGTTAGGAATAAAAAGCTCCTTTAGCATAGACTTCTGATGCTGCTGTTCTTCTACACTCTGTTGTTACTCTCCATCCATTACTAAAAGCATTAAAAGGAGTTTGTCTGCCCTACAGTGCCCTGTTTCCATCCAGACACAGAAGGGCATATGAGCAGTCACAGCTCTGATTCATGGGCACTGCGAGAAGAAGATGGATGCACAGTCGTATCCTGCTGTCAGGTGGAATAAAGCATATGGATGGACATCAGAAAGAGAGAGGGAATCATATTCCCTCTTAGGAAGAGAAGGTCCCATAAATAAATAATAGCAACACACCAGGGAATGTGGGATCAGAGGCACAGAGGGATCTGTCTATGGTGTTTCAGAGGAAGAAATGAATTCTGGGTTTGCTGGAAGCGTGTAAGGTAAGAGAGAAAAAAGCAGAGTCGTAGGGGGGTTACAGAGGCCAAAAGTGATTATACTGTATACCTGTGAAATGGAGGCTCACTGATTCTGGTAGACCTGCAGGAATGAAACCGCGTTAGTGGTTACTTTCACAATCAACTGCTAACAAATCACAATAATTAGAGCGCAGGGTGAGAGGTTATTTCATATTTAAACAGTTCAGCTGGAGAGGTGAGTTTTACAGACTTATGCATCACTAACAATACCTCAGATGTTGGGTTTGACAGCCCAGAAGCACCAATTAGCATCAGATTAGTACTAAATCAACAGTGTGCTGGCATATTCTCTAATTAACTTCCCACACAAACTGTACACATTTCAAATGAATGAGCGTGTCATTATACTACTGTGTGCTACTATTGTTACAAAAACTGCAATTAGAAATGTTTAAGGACTAAAATTTCTAGTTGACTCAAAAGATCTGTAAATGAATGAATCTGAGTGGTTGCATTCAGGTTTGGGATTGGAAGGGTTTATTTAAGATACAGTAAAAACAGTAATATTGTGAATTATATAACAGATTGTGAATGAAATTTAAAGTAACTGTTTTCTATGTTAATATTTTAACATGTAATTTATTGCTATGATGGCAAAGCTAAAGTTACTCTTCTTGAGTATCACATAATTCTTCAGAAATCATTCTAATATGCTGATTTTGTGCTCAAGAAACTCTTTTTTTTGTGCTCTTTTTCTTTTCATGTAATAACGCAAAGACTAACCTGTAAATGAGTACTGATAAAGCTCCTGAAGGTGGGAAGGAGCTTGAGGTGGTCTGTAGATAATTTTGCCACTGTCTACATCAGCCTGGGTAAAGAGACGCACATGATGGTAAGGTCTATCCCTGTGCTCCAGCATACCTGAAAGAGGAGAGTGACATCATCCTATTAATATTAATATTACAATCAGTTCAGTATTAGAAGCTAAGAAATTAAATGAAATAGAGATTGTGGGATAAACATTGTGGGACTGAGTTCCTTATGCATAATTTATACATTTACACATCCATCTCAGTGGTGATGTCTTTATTAAAACAGATGAAGATTAAGTCAGATTTCTTTTGCATAAATTAATAAATATTCACGAGGTACGTCACAACTAGCATCTTTTTTTCTACCATTTCTTCTATTCTGAGAAAAGGTTTATGACTATTCTATGACTATGTTATTTAATCCAAATGAAACGTCTAATCCACGAAAGGATATGAAATATCTGTGACACTGAGCAACAACCACATATGAAGTTTCTCATAATGATCTTAGATGTGAAATGTCTACCCTTCCAGTAAAGTCTCGGCAAGTTTCCTTTGAAATCCTCTACTCTCTGTTTAATGGTACAAAAAGGAGAACAAAACAAAACTATCAGGCTTCCATTATGCCTGTAAGTGTCCTACTCCTCACCCCTATGACAATAATGGAGGTTTAGTTACCGTGGCCTGAGGTAAGCGCTTTGGTGATGTTGTAGACAAGCTTGTCGCTGGGCGTCTCAGAGTCAGTGAAGGAGAGAGCAGACGGAGATATCACAGTCACGCGATCTTCCAGTGCCTGCACACGCACATACACAGCCAAAAACATTTACACTGATGAAGACAAAAAAGTTTGGAGATCATATGGATCTCAGACAGTCAAGTGTTTTTTAATGTTTTTAAAGTCTCTTATGCTCACCAAGGCTGCATTTA